GAGCCGGAGGTCAGACTAGATGGCCTGGGAGACCCCTTCTGACTCACTGCTTCTATGTTTCTAAGTTGTGGATTCTGTCAATCCTATGTGCTGTGTTTATTTATTTATTTCTTATTTATTAGGGGTATTTCTAACCCGTCCATTACTGTATGTCTCTGGACGGCTTACAATAGCTTGGGGTTGCCAAATTCTGCTATGGATCGGATCTTGAACAGACGTCAATTTTTTTTCAGGGAAGCAAAACAGAAAGAGGGTAGCACCACAGAAAGCTCCAAATTGCTCTGGAAGCCAGGCAGGGTTGCCTGAATGTTGCTCCAACAAGGAGCAGAGCAAGACTAAGTCTTAAGTAAGAGTTAGGCTTGGGCAGCATGGTCTTAGCTCCATGCTTACTGCGGCTTGCTCTCTGGAAGAGTCATAGCCTGTTTTAACAATCTCAGGCTGCAATAGCATGGCTGTGACACGCTAGTTGCTTCATGGCTTTAGTCCTCAGGTTGTGATGGGGTAACATGAGTTGTTCCAGACAAAGGGATGATGGGTCTGGGGTGTTCCCAAAGAACTGGATCCTAGAGAAGTGGAAGCTTCAGGAGGCCTTTCTGAAACTGAGCCTCACACTGGACTCTTGGAGCCTCTTCTGGGAACAACGGATTAGGGTCCCCTGAGGATGAGCGTTTGGGGCCTTGGTCCATGATACTGCCATAATTTATATTTCTGGATAATTGGCATTTGATTTCAGTTGACTGGCAGCAGTGGGCAACCGCCTCCTTCTTAAGAACAAGTTGCACGCTTTGATAGATTCTGCCTTTTCTACTTATCCATATGCACATTCCACAGGAAGGGTCACTGGGATTGAGATTTGAACCTCTGTGCTTGAGCAAATGAAATCCCTAGCAGTTGTGCTAATTGTGTTGGCCGCTTCGGCCAATTTCTCCTCCAGACCCCTGTAGGAATCTTTGCCTGGCCTCCACATGAAGTCCGGCACCTTGGCTTTCAAATACACTTTCATTGGGCAATGATTCATCAAAATGGAAGGTTAGCTATTTAAAAACCAGTTCTTACATCTTCTGAGTGGATGGAAGAATGACAGATTTTGGAAGTGTGTTCCAGCAAGCCCTGGAGGAGGGATTATTTGTATTTATTTATTCATTGTGTGTTACAAAACAAAACCTAAAGCACACACTGAAGAGAGAGGGAAAAGTGAGATAAAATACACAGGGATAAACAATATATATGTAATTAGCATTGTGGATCTTTTAAAATCGTATCCCTTTTTTGGGAGACAGGGAAAAGGGATGTATAAGAAATTAGTTTCTGTTCATTTCTGATCAGGATACACCCATTTGTACAACTCAAGAGGCCAAACAAAAACAAAAGTTCCATAACATGCGTACATATGGAAAATGTGCTCAAATATACTTTAACCAATGGGAGAAGAATGCTTACATTTCAGTGATGTGTACATTTGGAAAAACGTACCTGCATGTAAGGACATATTTTCATGCAGAAAGAAAAAAGAAGACAAAACAAAGCTCTCAGTCCGGTGAGGGACCAAGTTGAAATGAGCTTCAGGATGGAATTAGGAGGACTTTGGGGAGCTCAAGTTTTGCTGATTCACACATCTTTAGAGAAAATCAGTTATAGCCACCATCCCATCAGGATAGCATGTCCACCACTTGCTGCCCATCTTCTCTCTGTGTTACTATATTCTCCATTCACAAAGAGTTGTGAGGTCCAGCAGGAGTCACCCACACCCACATATGAATTAAGGAATTATGCCCCGTACATACCCCAGCATCCTTTGCAATGCAGAGGGTTCTCATGGTAGACATTACTTTTTTCTATTCGTGACACTGATATCCCGCCTTTCCTCCAAGATGTGCAAGGCAGTGTACCGAACCTGTCCCCACTCCTTGTTTTATCCTTATGCCTGTAAGATAAATTAGAACGGAAGAACAACTGGATTCACCCAAAAGGTTAAACCATGATAGTTTATAAGATAAAGGTGGCTTTTTGTGTTGTCTGAACGCAGCCAGAGTGGTTAAACCATGTTTGTAACAAACCAAGGCTTATAAGCCACCATGGCTTATTGTGCTGTGTGAACTGAGTCAAAGTCACTGGACCAAGGTGAGCTGAACCAGGGTATCCACAGTCCTGTCTGACGGTCTAATCACTACTCCATGTTGCCTCTCAAGGGTGTTTTGACAGGCAAATCAATATGGAAGTGAAACTGCTGCCTGGCCAGAAAGAGAATTCAAGGGGTTTGCTCTAGTTTGGGAGAGTATGGGGGAAGGAATAACAAAGTCAGAGAGCAGGGCAGTGAGTCTGAATAACAGAGCAGACATTGTGGCATATGGAAGTTGTTTCATCTCTTGGCCAAACTGAAATGTCATTTTGTCCCAGTAATAATAATTTTCCGGACCTTGGCCCTCTGTGGAAGCTCCAGTCAAGATAACCTTTCCAACCGTCTACATATTAATCAGCCTCATAATCATTCCTATTTGAGGCAAGCTTGAAGTTTGTCATTTTCGTAGATCTCAATTTCATCTCGTGCATGTATCATGTACATTAGCATATCATAAGACATTTTAATACAGAACAGCTAATTGGCAGGGTGACTTCTTTCTAATTTTTTTACTGGGTTTTAAACAGAGGTGATCATTTGTAAATAATAATCTTGATCATTACATTTGTTCTAATTAAACAATGAGGCATATCAGGAGTACAGTAATCATGAGATAATCACATCCCTGGCATAATTATCAGGTACAGGGCACAGCCAAGTATCTCTAATGCCGCAGAGTGTGATTATCTTGTGATAACTACACCCTGTAGGTTGCCTAATTTTCATTACAAAATGGAATTATTTTATTAAAATGAACATGGGGTGGCAGTGGGGGAAGGTGTCCTCTTCTTCTGATGGAGGAGGAGAAGACCGGTGGCACGCGATGCTTAGCAGGAGTTTCAGGTGGGCTGAGAAAGTGTGGATTCATCATTGACTGCAGGTGCTCTGTTGTTCTCATCCACGTGGCTTTGCCATGAAATGAATAGCTATGGACTTAATATGTCTGGCTCTCTGTGAAGCTGAAAGAAGAGGGTCAGATCGGCTGCTCTGAACAGCAGTGCTGCGTACAAGAATAACTGAAATAAAATGTTTTCAAGCATGCCTAAGCTTTTATTACATGCACTAGAACTGTTGCGATCATTTGTCATTTGTAATATACATCTTTGCAGTGTGTTCAGGGGCACCACATGATCTTGGATGTGAAAATCAGCTTTTACCAGTGTTGTGGCTGACGTTCTTCAGCTATGCAATGGCTCTGTTTGAATGTCCAAGTCCCAGCGTTGCAGGGAAGAGCAATGGAGACTTTGCTTCACTGCCCCCTCCCCTCCGCAGTGCTTACATCCTGGGTTAATTAAGCCACAGGGAGGCATTACATCCAAAAAGTTCTGAGACCATGATTCAAAGCAAATTTAAGATCCTGGTTAGTTATCTGACAACAAAACATCATTCCCCATTTCATATATAACAGCTAACTGTGGTTTACTTAACCAGGATAGCAACCCAAGTCAGGAGAAGGCAAGGGGGGATATGGAATAATGGTTGAGCGAGCTGGGAACTGAGCATCTAAGCCAGGTAACAACCTATTAGTTGTCCCAGGTGTGACATTTGTCTCCAAAGAACCGAGAGCTATCTTAATCCATCACGTACTGGCCAGCCTGCATTGCAGCTTTGAATTCCATGATTCAGTAGATGAGGACCCCACTTGTTCTTCCCAAGTCTCTGGTTTGACCTTCTGTTGACTAAAAATAAGTGCTACTCCCTTCCTTATTGGTCTGTGGGTTGTCTTTAGCAAAGCTCAAAAGAAAGTGTGATTCAGGAAAAGAAGAAAGAATATGACTTCAATGTGGTAGTTAACAATATTGATGGAGTGGATAGTATGCATTTCTTGCCTGATATATTCCATACCCATCGCGCGCACGTGTGTGTGTGTGTGTGTGTGTGTGTGTGTGTACACAAAAGGCATTATGTCCTTATTGGGTTGATAGTCCAACCGATAAGCCATGGCATTTTATATAAGCAAGTCTCTCTAGTTTGTTGTAGTTCAGTCAGTGAGTAAAATTACCGACTTCTGATGGACAGAAGACTTGGAAGAGATCTTTTGTCTGAGGACCAAACAGTCAAGGGACACACCTCAGGGTGGCTGGGATGAAATGCAGTAGATCGGAGAGGCAGTCCATACATGTGCTGGAATGCTGGAAGCTGCGAGCTGTAACTAAGTAGAAAATGGGCTCACCTCACTGAAAACACCTGGTTCTTCTAAGGCTGGTATTTATTCAAGCCTTCACCCACCTGGACTGAAACTTCCAGCATCTATAGATATATCACTTAACGGTGGTGGAATAGCCCAGCTTTGATCAACCTGCTGCCATTCAGTCTTGGACTATCAACTCCCACCAGACCCAACCTGTTGGCAGTGCCAGCTGGGCCTGGTGGAAAGGATCGTCCAAACATCTGGACGGCGCCAGGCTGGCCAAGGCTGGTCTGTTCCACATCCTTACAAGTCTCCTGCCATTATGCAATACATTTGTGTATGACTTTAGGCCAGACTACATCATCCAGGTTCCAAGGGCACTGAAAGCACAAAGCAAGAAGTGAAAACGCTCCGTTAACGATTTTATATTATGTCTTATCACATTGTATTTTATGGTTTTAATTTTTGTGAGCTTCATAGAACTTTGGTGGCTGTTGGGTGATATTGAAATGTAATTAATAAACAAACAGGAACGAATGAATGGATGACTGAATGACTGAATGACTGAATGAATGAATGAATGAATGAATGAATGGGGTTTGGCAGAATGAGGTTGACTCATAGCTTTCTGTCATTGTTCTCTAGCGAGTATTGACCATCTGGTGCCTGTGTGTAAAAGGAAGGGGGCTTTACAAATTGTAGCATGGATTTTATTTACTAACTGAGGTGTTTCTTCTTTTTGCTCATTAGTGTAACAGCGACTATGTGCCTGTGTGTGGCTCCAATGGCGATACTTATCAGAACGAATGCTACTTGAGACAGGCTGCCTGCAAACAGCAAAGTGAAATCCTGGTGGTGTCCGAAGGATCGTGTGCCACCGGTAGGTACAGCAGACTCCATGTCTCCATTATCTAGAACTTCATCTTGAACAAAACTGAACAGGTTGTGTGTATCTTGGCTATCTGTTTGCACTTCTGGCCGAGTCATCCCAGATCAATAATTGAGAACTAGGCACAGGTTTGGGATTGGGAGGTGGCAGGGAGGGTGTTTTGTTTTTGTTCTGGCATAATCTCTTAAAACTTGGAAAGGTGTTCAGGTTTCTTAAAGCAGGACTTTTATTTTGTTTGTGGTGTTTTGCTCTTCTTGCATAGCTCAAAACCACAGAGCCCCACATAAGTAGGCAATGCATGACCTGCTAAAGGGTCCCTAGTATGTTTTCTGCCATTTCTGCCACTTGACCAATAGGGGAGAAGCGGAGTAGGCCTGTCTGTGGGCAGCCCCAGACTCTCAGCCCAGCCTACCTCACAGGGTTGTTGTTGTGGAACTAGGATTGAGAGCGGCAGGAGGAGAAGGATAGAAACTGCTTTGAGTTCTTTGTAAGAAAAAGTGGGATATAAATCTAATAAACAAATAATATACTTTTGCATCTGTATTTGGGCCTCTTGGGCACCTGGAACTTCTCTCCTGCACATAGCCAACTGTGACAGAACGACTCTCCCTGCCACAAAGAAGTGTGGGAAAGAGAGGCTACAAGAGTCTGTGGAAAGGCAGTTCAACAGTTATGACTGCAGATATAGCCATTTCTGTGATAAAGCCAGTTTTGACCAGCTTGACTAGAGCGAGAAAGCTTCTCTTTGGACCCCGTGAGGGCACTTTTAAGCCACATATCGGGAGCAGGCAATGGGAGTGGACATAAATAGGGTTGTCAGTTCTTGGAATCACAAATTCAGATACCCGGGTGTCACCCTCTGAGTCCCAAACTGGTGCCTAGGAGCACACAGCTTTCTGCTTTTGGATGTTACCAAAAGTGCCATAGCTGAGCCAAAAAGTGCCAAAGCTGAGCATAGAACTCCTTTGTAAAAGATAAAACCTGAGGGGAGAAGCTTGTCTCTTGATTTTCTGACAAGCAGTCTGAAAGCTGTTCCCGCCTCTCCCCAAAATCTGGCTCAAAGGCAGACAAAAGTTAGCCAGGACCAATTGTTTTCATTTCTGGATTTTTGGCAATGGATAGGTGGGCTCGTCTTGGCTTACTGGCTTGGTTTGCTGTGGTGCAAAGTCCCCAGGCCTTTTGTGAGCATGCAGAGAGTGTTATGGGTATTCTCACAAAATGGCTGTCATTTCTCAGAAAGCAAGCAAGGTGAGCCCAAAAGTCACTTGCCTCTGCACCGAACCGCAAGGCTAAGGCGAGGTCTGAGCTCCAAGACACACAAGCTCTCTTTCGAACCTGAAGAAAGATAGCACTGGAGGGCAGCATTTCACTTTGCAGTGTATCAGCCTCCCAGATAAAAAATACTCTTCAAAAATGCATTAAGAAATAAAATTAAACTTGGGAGGGCAGGGAGCCTGGTTGGCACCAATTGGTGCCCATGTACACTACACTGGGAACCCAGCATTAGTATCTTATAGTCCCCCCAGTTAGTACAACGGCGGTGCAGCTAACAACAACAGTGCCTTGTCAACCCTGCCCAACATGCCTGCTGGATTTCTTGGGCTCCCAGAGGATTGCCTCCCCTTCAGATGAGCCCCGTTTGCGATTGGCACATGGAGCGGGTGAAATAAGTCCCCTTGGTTTACATCCTTCACTGCAATTGCTCAGGCTGGCCCTTGGACTTGAATGATGGTTGCTGCTGCAGGACAATCGAAAGAACGAGCAGTGGGAATCAGACTGTGCTTTGCTAAGACCATGCTCGAAGCAGTTCACAAGTCTGACTGATCGTAACTTGGGAGCACAGCTTTGCCACCGCTGGAGGGATGAGGTGTCTTGCTTCAAGCATGTCAATGGCCTTGGGTCTTACATTTTTCTGGAGCCCTAGGCGAGGCTCAGAGGATGTGTGTGTGAGAAGAGAGGACATCTAGGACAGTGGATGCTCGCCTCCTACATGGGGCAAGAAGGATGAACCAAAATGCTTCTTCTAGACCCTCAGATTCAAAGGAATGTCTGTGCAAGGGAAAATAAACACAGTGCAAGAGGTCTCATTGTCTTTGCAGTTGGTGGGAATGTGAAGGCAGCCATGTGTGCTACTCTGCAGGGCTCATTCCTCTGTTCAAAGGCCTTGTCTGTTTGAAGGTCTCTTATCTGATCCAAGCCCAACTTTAAGATAAAGAACTGTATGGAGGGAGAGTGGAAGCCTTGAAGTTGCCCATCCACAGCTCCTGGACAGCAGATGGAACAGACCCAGGAATTACCCTCTCATGGGCTTCCCGTGATAATGAATACACTGAATGCCTTTCCCAATTATTGTAATTATTTCTAAAAGTTCATCTGTTCCTAGAAATTAGCGTAACCACATTTATGCACATCTGTGCCCACTTGTGGGGCGGTATAGAAGTCCCCTAAATAAATAAAATAAATAAATAAGTGGCCAACCTAGATTTTTTTATTTATATATATATATATATATATAAATATATATATAAAATAATATAATATAATATATATATTATATATATATTATAATATATATTATAATAATATAATATTATATATATATTATATATATATTATAATATATATTATAATAATATAATATAATATAAAAGACCCATTTGTAAAACTTACTCAGCCAGCAAGCAAGCACAGTGGAGAAAAATGTTTGCTGGGTCATCTTTTGTTAGATACACACCGGATCGCTGTGTTGTTCTTAATTGCAAACCACAGTTGCAATTGGAGAGCATCCCAGCTTCTTTTAAAATGAAGATTTAAAAAGAAAATTGGAATGATGATGGAAGTTTGCAAACTGAGCTGGATTAACCAGATCTGACTGTAGATAAATTGGGATGCTGACTCTGAGGATTCACACAGAATCCCAATGTTGCATTTTGCAAGCTCTCCACTTGCCTTCCTAACTGCCTGTGACACTGAAAAATGTTTGTGAACCGACTCTCCGCTGAAATGAGACTCTGATCTATGTCGCCTGCCTTCCTTTTCTTTAGATTCTTCAAATCGTTTCCTTTAATGTTAGCTGTATCTTTCCCACTCATTTTAAATGTATAATTCAAGTTTAATTTCAGGGTTTCTTAGCCAGATGTTTTCATTGTCTAGTCATCTGGTCAAATGATATTAAACTGATTGTCACTTGCCAACCATCTTAGGTACCATATCAGTACATATTTACCAGGAATGTCCCCCAGTTTCTGGTGCTTGTCCCAAGTAAATGGCAGCCCTTGTTCTTACGTTTTGCAGGTGTCTTGGTATGAATTGTCATTCTCCAAGGGTTGATTCCGTTTAAAGTCTCTCGGTCAAAGCTAGCTATCGGGAGCCCTGGGCAGAATTTCAAATGCTCTCTGCTAGAGATCAACTCAAACTAGATAGGAAAAGTGTTCTGCTTTGGAGTGGACAGTCCTCTGTCGGAAGGACTGTCCACTCCAAGGCTGGTTTAAAGATAAAAAGCTCAACAACACTGTGCTAAAGTTGCCCATCAAGTGGTCCTTGAAAGACTGAGCGGCTGGGCAGATCCCCCGGCCTCAGTCTTCTGAACTATGTCAAGTATTTACACTGTAATTCCTTTAAAATCTGCCTCAGTACATGTAAACCAGCACAGGCAGTTGTCACGTCCATCAGTGCCCTCTTCTGCCTTCTCTTTTGCTGAAGCTGCTCCTCCTTTTTTTGCAACGCATAAATGGCTATCCTGCCTCAGCCCTCTAGCAAGAGTGATCTTTCCATCTCCCAGCAGCCTTCTGGCAGGAGTGGGGAAAGAAATGGAGTCAGGGGAAGAGGGCGAGCAGTGGCAGGAAGAGAGGCAAGGGGTGTGTGCACCGGCCTCGGTACACATGGGACCTCTGCCTGTCCAGGCAGTTATACTCATGTGTAATCCTCATACGTGGGGCTCAAAATTTCATTCTTACTGAGACCCAACACAAGCAATAAACTAATAACTAAAAGGTTACGCGTACTAGTTGGAGCTGATGACTAGATGGGCCGGTGGAATGAAAAGAGGTGAAGTAGGCAGATGAAGCAAAAAGCCCAGGCAAATCCAGGCCTTTGGGCTGTATTCCCAGAGTAGTGGCACAGTAGGGGAAGAAAGGGAGTAAGATGTGGCATAACAGGATGGCAATATTTCTTGAAGATGATTTGCCAATGCGTGGTGAAATAAACCGAAGCAACCCCAACTACAAACCTTAGTGGGCAACACAAAAAACCGCCATGGCCAATAGGGGCAGATTGGGGGCAATCCCTCCCATATTTGGCTCTGTCCTCCCATATCTCTGCCATGTGCTTTCTCCACCACAGTTTACCTTGTAGGAAAATGACACTCATCCAATTTATTTGCCCCTCCCTGCTCTAGGTGTCCAGTTGGGGAACAGAGCACATGTCTAGTGTATAAAATGAAAACAACGCATATGAGCATCAGTGCTCCATTAATGTTCCAAGCAATGATGTAGTAGAAATGGCTGGTAAGCCTACTTTAATAGAAATTAGGTTTTTAAAAATGTCTCTGTTTGATAAAACAAATGCTTCCATGAAATCAATGGAATATTAGCTGTTGTAGACCAAATGAATAAGCCAGCGGGGGACTTGTTATGTTGTGCAAAACAGCCACGGTTTATTTGGGCTGTCTGATAAACCCAGCTTCTCAGCCCAGTGGCTTGTTCTAGGGTTTCGTAGAACAAGGCCCACGCCTGGGCCTGCTGCATGGTCTGAACCTGACAACTCTGCAAACGTGGGAGCTGCGCAAAGTGTGACACCGCAGCTTGGCAAGAATGGCAGAAGGGCGAGCCACTCTTGCCAAGTGGTTTGGGATGAGCACCGATGGCAGCTGCCCCAGAGCACCAGAGCATCATAAGGCGGCACTTGTAAGAAGCACCATGCATGGCAGAAACCAAAGCATCTTTTAGTTAACTGGAAAGTTTGTGCTCCCTTAATTGTTTAGCAAAAGCTGGAGCTTTCGATCTCTCTTGTGCAAGAAAGAGGACGAGTGATGGCAGAATGTGCATGAATTTGAGGCCCACAGCGGCTCATTAGCAATCACGTAAGTCACAGCTTAGGAGAGCCTTTGAACTGGGCAACTGTAGTGTTGTCTCAGAAGTATTAAAGAATGGACAATTGGTCTACTTAGACTCTTCAGTGCTTGCTTTCTGTTTGAAAACAAAATTATTTCTCAGGCTCTTTGGGGGCAGGGAGGGAAAAGGTCAGTTATATGCAGAAAAAATGTTCTAATTTCCCTTGGAACGTGCTTGCAAAGGTGGGGGCCCACCAAGTAGAACACCGCTTACTAGCCATATATTGTGTCCTGTTGGGTGTTTGATGATGCTCAGGCCTCTGTACTTTTGGTGTCCAAGGTTGGTGGCAAGCAGATGATTTCTACAGAGCCTTCAGAGGATGGCTATATATAGCTATGAATGTGTATGAGTGCATATGCATACATACAGAGAGAAAGAGCGAGAGAGCATTTAGTTCTGTAGGTTGCAAGGCATGCCACCTTCAAGACACTTTCCTTGCTTTGGTCCTAAAACAAGTCACGCTTCAGACATTGCCGAAGGGTTGCAGTTTGTATGATTCTGGGCTGGGTGACTCACCTTGTCTTGGAATAGTTGCAATATCAAGCTCACAACCACAGGGGACCGAGGTATCGCCCCCACAAGGTCTGGTCTGTGTGTGACTCTGCATGGTGAAGCGCCGCTGTTGCCCCAGGTCAGAGCATTCCTGAGCAGAACATCAGGATCCTTTGAGCCTGCTAAAGCCCGTCTCAGAAGAGTGCTGGTCGCTGTCACAGCATCCTGCTCACAGGCATCCCTGCAGCATGGCAGGCCCTGGCAGTGGTACCCCTAGGGGTGGGGAAGGGCCTCTGCCAGTGTGCCACAGCAGGTTGCCCCACCGTACCCCGTGGCTCTTACCACCACGTTTGGATGTGTGCCTGCTTTTATGAAAAGCGGACATAAAAAACAAAAACACTCGACAAAAACCAAATCACTCAGCTGGGTGGGAGAACTGGGAGCAGCAACACCCTTAGTGTTTTCATTTAACTTAAAAGGAACATTTCAGCATCAAAAAGAGAGTTCGCATGAAACATTTAGAGTGGATCTCTATAATTTACCGAGGAATGACATCAAAAGCACAGTTTGGTAGAATGCATTTAACGAAGCAGGATGTGTCCATGCATACGGTCCTGATGCACATAAGTTAATTTCCCTCCCCATTTTTTCTCCCTTGCAGATGCAGGCTCTGGATCTGGGGATGCAGGTAGGAATGTTTTTATTAATACCCTTCCCCTCTACCCACTGAACCGTTTCAGATCATCTGCCCCTGTGCAGCAGCTTTGCTTGGTAGTTCTGCCATACTGTCGTGCATTGTCTATTGTGTAGGTTTTGCCTTGTGAACTGGCATTCTGCAATTTAGTCCAACTACAACTGTGTGACAGAGAGCTCTTTCTAGAGAAATTCAGAAAGCTGTTTTACTCCTGCTAGGAGTTTGTATTATTCATGATTCAACCAGGACTCTATCTCCATCTACTGTTACAAGCACTCGTGTGTCTCTTATTATTTTAAAGTTATTTGTTTTTCTTACTGCGTTCTCAGGAAAATCATAAGGGATGTGTCACACCACACACACACACACAGAGATCTCTGTGACTGAAGCAATCAACTTAAATATTACGTGGGAGGGGATTCACATGGCAATTGAGAAGAATGTGGCCGTACTGAGCATTTATATTTCAAGGTGTTGCCAAATTAGTTTGCTCATACTTTAGGTCTCCCCTTTCTGTAGGTTGGTAAGCACAATCCATTTAAAAGTAGGAATTTAAGGCTGCAATCCTATGCAGTTAAGCAGTTATTGCATAACATGGGGCTTACTTCTGAGTAAACATACAGGCTGCCTATCCTACTGATCCTCACAGACATGTACGGGACTCTCCCTGAAATGTATGGGATTTAAATTGCACTCTGTTAAAATGTATGGCAATTAAACATGCCTGCTTTGGCTTGATGGAGCCCCAAACTGCTTGCTCTGCTGCTGGCAGAGGGATGCTGTATACTTGGTTAAAGTCACTCTTGCCAGTGGCACCCTTGGAACATGGAAGGGTGTCCTGCTTGCGTTAGCGCTTAAGGCTACGTTTCCTGTGTTGAGTAGGCTCACTAGGAAGACCTCCTTTTGGTCCTCTTGACACACAGCAAACAGAAGCACATAGAATCACTGTCCTCAGCACCTGAGGATTCTGCTAGAGTTAGATAATGGAACGCTTTCTCCCAGTATGATCCCATTATGTTGAACCTGCAGTCCAAAATGCTTGTTGCTTAAAAGACATGGCTAGCAATGAGATCCTTTTAAACTCCCCGTTTTGCTGCAAGGTAAGTCCAGAATAACTCAGTGAGATCTAGACTCTAGGATGGGGAACTTTCACCCTCTGCCCTCTCCATTGACTGATAGCGTGTGAGTGGGGAGAGAATGTTCTCTCCTTAGTGTCCAAAGTGATCCATTTGTTTTAATTGATTGCTTTCAGGCAATATAAATTGCAGGCATCTGAGACTGATTCAGACTGGGACCAGTACCCTCCTTCCTCTACATTAGTATCCCAGTCTGGCTGAGGTCCCCTTCCCTTACTTTATAGGGGGGTAAAATAACATTAATTGGGCCTTCCTACAAACCACCGTCCTTCTAATACCAGGCTGTATCAGGTGGTGGTGCTCTAATCGTTCCACAGTACTTCATGCAGCCAAAATAGATGGATTATCTTATGGACCAAGCTGCTCTGCTTGGATAGACCAAGCCCTGTTTCACCAAGGCCATAAAATGCTCTAGTGGTTTGCTTATCTAACATGTTTCTTGGAAGCCATCTCTTACACAGTCAAGCTCAGCTTAGTAAATCAGATGTTTTCATTGGGTCAGACTGTGGAGTCGGACTAACTCCACACCATATATGTTTCAATGGCTGGTACAAGCACCTCAGTCCATTGTGATGGTCCATCCAATCACAGTCCAAGCACTATCTGCTTTGGGTGGTTTGACATTTAGGGTTAGACTGGTCAGGCAAATTGCCTTTAAAGAACAAGCAAATTTATGTTTAATGGTTGGCTTTTGTTAAAACTCTCCCTTGTCTATATTTAGTGAAAGATGATTAGTTTTGGCCAGATGGGCCATTTAATTTAGGTTCTGGATGTCAGTTAGTGGTGTCTGTTGAAAATCTGGTTGCTCACCTTCGTGAACATGTGTTGAAGAATTAAGAATGTCCTCTTGGGAATGTTCACCAGATGCAGGGTTTTTTTTTTTTTTTTTGCATTTTTCATATTTCTGGACTGAAACAGATCTCTCTTCCACACCCACCCCTCCATAATTTGGTGTAAGCTTTATGGAGTCGCATCCAAAATGCTGCCATAAAATTTGGATCTCACCTCAGACCAGAAGTGGGACGTGGTGGTATGACTCCATGGTGTCAGCACATTTTTGACACAGCTGAAGCAGAAGTTTCATGGAAGGCACATGTCTGCATAAAAATTCTGAATGAGATTTGGGACAAGGGGTATATCTGGCACGGTCTGGCACAATCTGAGATTACCAAGATAGGAGTGTGTGTGTGTCAGGAAAACAAACTGCCTTGAGTCTGTGGTTTGCTTTTTTCTCTGCAAAGTTGACTTCAAGTTTGTCTAAGGGAATTCTATTACTATTTCATTTTATTTTATTATTATTTTATTTTATGAGGGTTACTTTGCTGTTTCCACTTGAGGCTTCAGTGTAATGGATTTCAGCTTGTGGTTCTCGAGAAGAATTGTCTACCTGAGCAGAATTCAGTCATCAGGGTTGAGTTTACCTTGCCATATATCCTTATGGTATAGTTTCCATACATGACTTCCTTGAATGACTTATTTCCCTCTCTTTCTGAGACATGATGTGCTTGTTTGTGCCTCTGCTTACTTTACATGGACTACTCTGACCTGGATGATAATGGCATTTATTCTGGGTGTTACTAACAGGAAAGCCTAACACTATGTTACATTGGTCCAAAAGACTTCCACCATTATCACAGCTCCTTCTATAGCAGCTTCCCATTAGTTTTCTCAACGTTGCTCATACTCTTAGATTGCAGACTTAATATCAGAGTTTCTCAAAACCATTTCATTTCTGATCTTGATGTTTGGCTATAAATGCTTCTCCTGTATTTGTATTTATGTTTTTTTAATGTGACTATTCCAACCTTTCTAAAAGAAATGAATGACTTTGAGCTGTTTCCCTTTTTCTGGGGACTCAAAGCCTCATTATCCAAATAGCCTCATTCATCCAAACTGTCTGGCAGACATCAGGAAAGATTGTCAGATAAATGGGACAGTTATTAACATAGGGTTACTTTGACATAAGACACACAGGAGACAAATAATGTAATTTCATGTAACTGGGAGATCCACGTAAGTGAGTTATGGAGAAGGAGGGTTCTGTGCTTGGTGTGTCAGTGCCTGAATGCAACACACTTAGCATTTTCTTTTTTCTCTGATGGCCTCTAGAACAGAGATAAAGTAACAATAATGCAATAACAAAATAAAGCAACAGTAATGCATTATGACTAAAGGAACCCAGAGGATGGAGAGGCAACATCTGCCCATGTCTGTTCCCTCACTGTGGGCTGTCTTGGTCTGCAGCCAAGGTAGTTGGGTTGGGACGTCCCTTGACATGGAGAGAGAGGGAGGGAGGAGCCCACACTCTCTGCCTGCACAGTCTTTGCACTTTTGGTGGCTTGGCAGGGCAAAAGAATCTGCTCTTCCTGTCAGTGTTTCCCTCTTCCAGGTTTCTTACACTAGCTGGGGATGTGAGTCATGTGAAGAATTCTGTCATTTGCCCTTCCTTTTCTGTCCCTTCCCAGTAGATGTGAGGGGATCCTCTTTATTGCTGTGCTGTTGTGGAGTCTTTCCTGCAGCACTTGCCTTTACGCAGGGAAGCTGCTTACAAAGGGAGGCAAAGATGAACCATGGGAGTGGCCAGGCCTCCATTTCCTGATGGTGCTTTGCCACCACTCCTTGATTACCGCACAGCCACAGACCACCTGCCGGCTGGAAAAGTGCTGGGAGAGCCCATCTGCTGCGCAGCAAAGTCGTCTCCAGTTTGCTTACTGCTTGTGCTTGACAACTGAAGTACAGAGCAGGCCTGGGGAAATAAGCCTTCCCTTTAGCCTTCCCCAGCCCGGTAGCCTCCAGATGTTCAGTTCTCATCAAGCTTAGCCTAAGTTAAAGAATACTGGGAGTCGTCTAAAACATCTGAAGACACTCATTTTGGGCAGGCGTCTTCCTATTTTCTGTGCAGTTCCTCCTGTCTTGTAACTCTGGAGCTTGACCAAGAATTTTTTTACCGGCTAGAGGGAGAGTGAGGGAGGGACGGAGGGAGAGTATTTATATTGGCTTCTCACAGAATAATTATCTTAAAGTGGCAGCTAAAATTCATGCAGGAAGACACCAAAGAAGAATGGCTAATGTATCAATATTGTTCTTTTTTAAAAAATCCCGGGAACAAAGTCGGTCATTCTCCCTAGATAATGAATGCCAGGCTGAAGGAGCACAGCAACTAAAAGCATGATTTCCAAACAATTTCAGATGAAAAGCACAGGCTGACAAAAGACAAGTAGAACAGGACCTCAGGGACTGACTAGGCAGCTTGTAGGAAAGTAGATCTGTGCAGTAGGCAGGATCAAGTCATTGCATCCCTCTTTAAGGTCTGCAAAGCCGCTCAGCTTGTATATAAAATCCATGATTGAATAGACAACCAGTGCAGTTCCAGGTGCAGGAGCGCATCAATGTGCCAGAAGGTGGAAAAATAATCCTTGTCATTTAAACACTCTCACAGCTTCCTCCTTTAGGAGGTATAAAGCCATGTAATAAAAACCATAATTTTAGATGTCATTAAAGCAAGTGTTGAAAAAAATTACACGATGATGAAGGAAGCGGGACGCTTTCCTTGGCAGTCTTAGAGGAGTGTGCCACTGGAATTATTATCAAGTCAGTGCACTAATAAATTGAAGCCAACAATGTAAAAACACCCGATAGAGGTCTGGAAACATTGTCATAGTGGGCTTTCCTGATCTAACACAAACACTGGGAGGGTTGGATTTGTAGTGTTTATTCTTTCGCTTTGCTTATACGTGAGAAAAGAAATGGTGGGAAGAAGAGGAGTGACGTGGGCCTACAGTCTGTGCTGCGATGTCCATTGCAGAGTAGGATTGAAACCCGCATTCAGCCCAGAAGTGCATTGTCAACCCACTGAGT